AGGGGGAGACTGGCTTTGGCGGGCAGCGGGTTCCGAGCAGAGCAGACCAAGGACGATGTCCGGCGCGCCCCACGCCCTTGCCAGCCCCTGGCGCGCGGACCGATTTCTGCGCACGCGTCTGGCGTGGTTCTTCTCCTGACCCACTCGTTGGGCGGAAGATTCCGGGGTCACCAAAAAAGAGGACTGTATGCGCGTGTGATGTATGGAACGGTATGGGCACCGCGCTCCGTGTCTGACACTTCGCTACATGGGGAAATCTGTCCCGCCCACTCTCGGGCCCGATCTCCTAGACCTTTCCGACTCACCCGCTCAGGTTTATTCCACGAGGATCTTCCCCCAAAAAATAAAGCAACACGACGCGAAATGCAGCAGCATAGGCGAGCAGCTCCGTGGAGAACGGAAGCCTCAGCCCGCCCCCCGGAGCTTCTTGCGAAGAGCAGCACAGGCGAGCAAAAGTAGTCGAGAAACGAGAAACTGGGATGTGTGCCAGTGACGTCTTGCATCAAGAAGCACCGCACACAGCACCATTTCAAGTTCAGACAAAACCGCCAGCCGGAATGATGTTGGTTGCGATATTCAATGACGGTACTTAAAAAAACAAGGGAAGAAACAAATTCGCGAAAATGTGGCTGGGAAAATTCTTTTGAAAAAATCTAGTCGTAAGTTGCTTTTACGTTGTGGCTGTGGCTGATAATGTTCGTATTCGTTGGAGATGGTCGCGCCATCACTCGTTCGTTGATGCAGTATGCAGTTAGCTCGGTGGTAAGCCAATAATGCCATACGGTCAACAGTATCCTTTTGATGCTTCGATGGAGTAAGCGCGTCATTTCTTTTTATTTCATTTCGTCGACAGCCCGGCGCTCACAGAGTCCAGCATCGGCGGGAGCGCCCGCCGTCCTACGGCATATGGCTATGCGGTACTCATCGCCTCTGCTCGCCCAGTTTTACTGCAGCCCCAGGCCACCGCTGCTGCCACCACGCTGCCGCTGAACCTGTCCGCCACAGCCAGGCTGGTCCAGGCTGCAGGCGGCCGATATTATTCAGCGGACAGCGCGGCGCGACGATACCGAATGCCGTAAAAGTGTTGCGCCGCGAGCCCCGGCCACGCCACGCCGCGCCACGCCGCGCCACAGTGCACCTCGTCGCGCATACCAAAAGGCGCAGCAGCAGCAGCGGCAACAGCAGCGGCAGGTGGGAGGTGATGCTCCTGGCCGCCGCCGTTATTCTTCCCGTTCCCTTTTCACGTCTGCCGGAAGGAGACAGACTCGTGGTCCAGCGCTCTATGATTGTTTTCACGCCCGCACCTCTCCTCCTTGTGCCGCTCCCACCGAGCCTCCTTGGACGCGGCCGGGACGCGCCCCCCTGCGCTCGTGAAGCTGTGGGGAGGCCAATAATGGAAACGCCACTTTAGAAGAGGGCGGGCAGCGGCGAGGTGACGAGCAGCTCAAAGCGGCACACCGGCGGGCCTTTCTGTCTGTCTCGGAATAACAATTGATGATCCCCCTCCCAGTCTCCCGCCCCGCCGCGCTCCTCCACGGTGCACTGCAAAACGGCGGGAACCACACATTTTTAAACATTTCCCAACTTTTTGTATTGGTTTTCTTTTGCGTGGAGTCCACGCCTGGGATCATCCAGGAAGTAAGAGGAAGTACGTCCGTCATTTGCCGT